TCCAGCCGAGTGTGAGCATAAGATCCACAGTCCCAGTGGGACCCTGAGCAGCCCAAACTGGCCAGACAAGTACCCCAGCCGGAAAGAGTGCACCTGGGACATCACAGCCACACCGGGACACAGAGTCAAAATTGTAAGTGTGCATCACGTAAAAGCGGGTTCAACATTGTCAGGCTTTTCTTTCTCTGTGTGTTTTTCCTGGAAATCACAGGAATGCCACCCCACTGTAACGACGCACCGTTCTGTCTGTGGGGTCATCTTGTATGGTAAAGCCTTGGCTTGGCTTCTCCTTTCGTGTTCCACTTATGAAACCCAAATGTGAATGAGGGAGAAAGTGCATGTTTGTATATTTGGGCTAACTGTGAGTGAGTGCTCATGCATTACAGAAAGGCCTTGGGCAGTGGCCATCTGTGTCAGTGTGCCTTTCTATGCCTGTGTATGCATGTGTGCTGCCTACACACACACACATACAAAGTCTTTTGCGTATTTTCTAATTTGGTGCACATGTATGTGTTTATAAGACACCATTAAAATTGAGCTCCAGTACCATTTAGTGAAGTGTTTGTTTCTGCTGCAGAAACTCAGACATTTCAGTGTTGCCTCTCTAGAGAAGATGATGTGAGAATTGCAAGCTAAGCATAGTTTTAGCTCCAAGACAAATCTGAATGGTTATTTGGTCCTTGGCAGTTTAGGAAGTCATTTAAAGGGAGAATATCTAACTCTGAACTGTTGCTTGATGGAGGTGATGACAGGGGCAATGATAATGGTCTTTCTGTGTGGAGTTTCCGTTTCCACAGACATGCAGTTTGTGGGGTCAACTGATGATTCTTAATTGCCCATAGGTGTGATTGGTTGTCTGTCTCTCTGCATTAGCCACGCAACAGACCTGCGACCTATCCAGGGTGTACCCCCGCCTTTTCCGCCCCCCTGAATTGGATAAGTGGAAGAGAATGGATGGATAGAGATGGAGACATGTCAGAACAACAAAACAGAAAACCAGTGATGACATACAATCTTTGGGGGGGGGGTTCACTTCAGAGGATAAAATGACAGCTGATGTTTGTCTTCAGCTTCTAAAAATGTTCATCTTGACCAAACATTTTATTTAAGAACGTAATAAAGCACAAGACAGGTCAACTAAAACATGTTGAGATGATGCTGTGAACAAGACATAACCTTACTTTACATCATGACTGCTTCCACTGTTTGTCCAAGAAATGTTGCAAAAAGATGATTACTTGTAACTTTTCTCTTAAATATATTAATAATTTAGTTTATACATTTCAGAAAGTTCAGAAAATAGCACAGTCCACCAAAGATAAACTATAATATGTATTGTCACTCGTTACGAGTATTAGTAAGACTTCTCAATTATGAAGCCAAAATTAGTTTGAGTTTCAGTGGCATTTAAGATTAAAGAATGGCTTTAATCTGTTAATTATTGCAGCCTTCAAGTAACTTTCTGTTAGTTGACTGTTAGACTACTACTTTTACTTTCTAAAGGTATGAACGTCATAAGTGCAGAGCTCACATTTGTTCTCACAAGGGACTAAATAACAGGGGGAGGAACCTGGCCTCTAATTGGTTTGTGGAGTTGTGTTCTGAATCAGTACTGGTCAGAATTTAATCATATTTATACAAAATAACCACCTAACACAGGGGTGTCAAAGATAAGGTTCAGTGGCCAGCATCGGACTGACACTAGACTCCAATCTGGCCAACTGAATGACTGAAAATGTGAATGCTGGCATACATGTTGGACTTTTTACTACTGATAAAGTCATCCTCGAAGGCCATTCATACTACACCAAATTAAACACTTAGATTACAGAAAAGTTCTTCTTTTTTCACCATCTACTCTAGAACTACTGTGAGTCTACAAAAGAGACATTTTCTGTAAAATAACAAAAACTTTGTTTTATACATACTATGAGCTGCAGGAATTTCTCTATAATTTTACACCTTT